TCTGCATCCTTTCCTTCAAGGCTCAGGGGTCCAAGACTATCTTCTGTGTCTGTGTTAATTGGTTTCCCTTTTCTTTGTTGAAGAGGGTCTGTGCAATCCTTCTGCCTAGTCTGCCATCTTGCCCTGCCTCCCCACTTGTAAACTTTTAAGATCCCAGTTGCTACTTGCCAAAATAGGATGTAGAACAGTGTTTTTCTGTAGTATGTCACAACAGGGCTCTCAAATGATGTAATATCCTTTGAGATAAATAAGGTGCTGTCAGGTTACTGAAATAAATCCAAGTTTATTCATTTGATTTGAGTGAAGTGTTTTTATGACTCAGGATGTGGTCTCTTGGGGAGTGTTCTGTATGCACTCGAAAATAATGTATTCTCTTGTTGTTATTGGGTGGTGGTGGTTCTTGTTAGGTTCCATCGAGTTGTTTGTGACCCATGGCCACCCCATGTGACAGAGTAGAACTATCCCATAGGGTTTTCTTGTAATCTTTTGGGACCAGATTGTCAGGTCTTTCTTTATTCCCCTGTTTAGACATTATTGAACTAATTTCATGTAAAAGAAGATGGTGGCTTGAGCCAGGCTGAAAGAGTGGATGGAGATGGTGAGAAGAGGTTGATTTTTGGATATGTTTTGAAAAAAGAACCAACAGAATTTGCTATCTGACTGATAAGGCATGTGAGAGAGATGTCAAGACTGGCACTATGATTTTTGGCTTGTGAAACTAGAATGGAATTGCAGTTACTTGAGATGGGGGAAGACTGTGAGAGGAGGAGGTCTGGGAAGAGGCAGTAATGAATAGCTCAGTGTGGGTCATTTAACTAAGACAGGTCACTGAGATGGTTTAATCACTATTTTAAGAACAAGAGAAGAAATTCAGATGAACTCAACATTTATCTGGTGCTTACCATGTCAGATCCTGTATTAGACTATGTTGTTGTTGTTTGTTGCCGTCGAGTCAGACCCAACTCATAGCGACCCTCCTTGGGTTTCCGAGGCTGTATTACTACAGAAGTAGATGGCCCAACCTTCCTTCCGAGGAGTGGCTGCTGGGTTTGAACCAAGAGCCTTCTGGTTAGCAGTCAAGTGCTCCTTGTATTAGACCATGGTTTACTGCAAAAAGAACACGGGGCGGTATCCTTCCCTGACTTCCTTTAACTTCACAAGGTGGGGAGAGAATCACTATCAGCACCCAAGGCTGATTCCTATGAAGCCAGACATGCTGCCACCCTCCAAACTTTTTACCAATTCTGACTTCACTTGTCCCTTCTGTGGCACTCACTACTTCTCTGCTAAGTTTCAATAATTCATTGCAATGGCCACACAGAACTCACAAACAATACTCACGATTATGGGGTTTATTAGGAAGAAGTAACAGGTTATAATTGAGGTTCAGGAACCCTTTCAGGATATGATTCTTCAGTCAGGACAGTTTTCCCTCTGCTATGCCATCAGGCATGTCTCTCTGGTGGCCTCTTGGCCTGGCTTTTGCCCTACTCGGGCAAGTGTTAGAAACTCTTTTAGTTCTGCTGGTAGGTGTACCTGGGTACACACCACTCCTCCAGCAAGTCTACTCAAAGACATTCAGCTTTCTCAGTGGTCTGGCTAGCCTGCTGCTCTCTCTTGTGCCTCTTCTTTCCTCTGCTGTCATCTCAGGCAGTGGTCTCAGCAGTCTCTCTGTGAAGGTGGTCCAGTGCAGGGATCTCAGGTTCAAGAATGCACTCTATTCCACCTCAGGCTCTTCTGTCTTGATGGCAGTGAGAGCCCCACCCTCTGCCTCTGTTGTTGTTTTGTGCCTTCGAGTCAGACTGACTCATAGTGATCCCTCCTTGGGTTTCCGAGGCAGTATCACTGAAGAAGTAGATT